TCCAGAACAAACCCACATATATTTGGCCACTAAACCATTCACTAAGTGTTTACAGTCATTATCCCAAAGAAATTAAAAGAAATAAGCATTCAGAACAAAGGCAAGACTCAAAAAACATGGAAGAGTCAAGTTGCTAAATCCTAGAACAACTCGGGAAAAACCTAGCTAAATTCAGCTTTCAGCCCCACAGACAATGTCCAGGAGTAAGATCACCTACTGAATTTATCCAAGATTTTGCCAAGCTCGTGCAGTGGTATACTTTATAACCTTGCATGGGGGGAAAAACAAGCAAACCAGAACGAAAAAAATGAACACAGTGTGACATAAACACTAAACAAAAAAGTACAAAATGGGCTATTTGAGAAAAAAATCTGAACTGAATTCAAATCATTCACACGAGCCAAGATATGCACAATCAGACCCACAGTAACTGAGCAAAATAAACATATCAACTCATTAAAGACCTATCTGCCTGAATGTGTCTTTGCTTTCTCTTCAGTTCTTATGGGCTATTCAATCACTTCCCATCACCGAGAAAAGGAAATATTGCACTATCAAGACAGAGCTATAATTAGATATTCTTCTATTTCACTTCACATATATGACTGAATGAGAATGGATGGGAAAAATATGAACAGAGATAATAACAGCAAGTTGAAACATTCAGTAAAAAATACATTTGGCACAGAATAACATCTCAGGTCTTCCACAGCACGTAATGCTGTGTTTACTGCAAAATTAGTTAAGTTAGTATAAGAGATTTTTAATGAAAACAATTATAAATTTAAAATAACTGTGTTTAAAGCATTTAACAGTCCCTAAGGTCAAGTGATTACAGCAGTTACAAGACCCGAGGGACATGTTCACACCAAAACAAAGTGAATAAATTACCTCAGCCAGTGTATGCAATCACTAAGTGACCACAGAGGTTATTCAATGTATAAGCCCAGCTGACTTCCACGCAAAACCAATAATGAGAATGTAACAGCCAAAGGGAAAAAGCATTTAACTAGCAGAAGCTGCTGGAAGGGCTGAGAACTTGGGAGAATGGGAAAGGGGGTGTGGAAGGCAAGCTCCATGGCTTGGCTGTGGAGGCAAGGGAGGAGGATGAGTGTTGGGGAAATGGACAGGCAAAATGCTGAACGTTTTTCCCAGGTGAAAGGCCCAAATTGTGGCAAAGGGATGCAAGACTCTAAAAATGTAAACCAGCAGGGTTTAAGCAGTGCTCTCAGCCCTGTAAAACTGGGATATGTAACGCCCAGTGAAGGACAAGCAAGGCAGGAGCTCAGAATAATCATCTCTCAGCCTTCCCCTCGGCTTCACTGCCAGGAAAAACGATGGACAGTTACGTGTTTCAGTTATTCTAATGGAGGCAAGACCTGGTTTTTACCACAGAGTGGGTAAGATAGGCTGCAGAACAAAAACTAGCTTTGTTCTGGCTTCTCTCCCTCACGACATAAATGATCGGATGCCTTGTCTTCACTGCAGCTTCACAACACAACTGCCAGTGGAGAAAATCAGAGCCAGGAAAGAAGGCAAAACATTTTTCTGTAAGGACCACCTTGTATTTGATTCACAGTGTGCAGCTCTGGATCAAGGCTCCTACCAACTATGGTGGAAAAAGATGGTACTGAGGAAGCACAAGGAATCCTGCTTGCCCCTGGTATGTATTTTTTTTAAGCAGAGCACATCACCACCTCACATCCTTGAAGGCATTAAATCTTCATAAGACACAGAATAAATAATAACATAATAAACGGTAAAGCACAATTAACACATTTTGGAGACAGGAGTCTGAAAAGAGAGGCAAAAGGACATGCCTGACCTTGGTGTTTTGATTCCTGAAGCAAATATTCACCAATATTCCTGCAGGTGAAGCAACTTGCTAGCTTGCCCTGTGCCAGGAGGCTAATAGCTGGTATTGTCATTCATATATATACATACATACATACATATATATATATACACACACACACACATATATATGTATATTTATATGTATATATACATTTATATACATATATACACATATATGTGTATATATATATGTGTGTATATATACATATATATGTATATACACAAATATATGTATATACACAAATATGTGTGTGTGTGTATATACATACACACATTTTTTATGTGTATGTATATATATGTGTCTTTATATATATATGAGAAAATGCAAGTGGATTCTCAATATGTAATTAAAGATTTTCTTTGTATCTGAACTATAAAAACCTGAGGCCAAAGCCAGCAGGCCCTCACACAGTCAGAGCTTCCAGTTTCAGTGAAACTGCCTGCAAAACCTGCTTTTTGAGATAAACACTACACTGTCTTCTACATGAACTATGCTTATATGCTAAGAAAGCCCCCTGGTAAATTACTGAGGCTGGAACACACCTATCCAAAGTGTTATAGTTCTTCTGTGGGGAATGTTAAGCCAAGGACCTATGTGCTAAAATAACATCATCATGACCCCCCTGTTAGATGCAAGGAATGCCAAGTGGCTGCCAGCCCTGCAGGATTCCCTTGGGAGGGTGAAAGCACCCTGGCAGATTATTTGGGCTGGCTTCCTGCAGCCCTGAGTGGTTTCAAATGCCAAGCAGTGGCCACAGGCTCTGGCTGCACCTAAACAGCATTTGTGAAATTTGTGAAGTCACTCTGGAGCCAAAGAGGAGCTCAGGTGGCCAGAGAACTGCTCTCAGCAATGCACTCAGGGAGATCTGTGCCCTCCAAGAGGCAATTCCTCCTCTGGAGCTGCAACTACACACGGAAAAAGGATAGTTTTGAGCCTATCAAATCTAGTACCACTTTCTAAAAATAAGAACAATACAGCTAAGTTGCAGTGGTATGGTTAGAATATGTGCACAGCAATAAAAAAAAAGAAGGAAAAGCGTGCACAGCCATAAAAAAAAAGAAGGGAAAACACCCATTCAAACAGGATTATGGAAATCAGAGGAGGTCAGGTAAAAAGAAGAGTATGAGGAAAACACAAAGAAGGATGACAAGACAGACAATGTAGAAGTTCTTCTATTGAAAAACCTCTTTTTGTAAAACCAAATGTCCCCTACGTATCTCTTGAAGGGTCAGCCAAGGAACTCCAATGCAATAAAATTATGTAGAGGTGCTGCATATGATAAAATAGGTAAGACACACATAGGATAAAACATGTAGAGATGCTGCCATCACACAGCAGGCAAGAGAGACTGCAGCAAAACCTGACAGAGCTATGCTTCAAAATACTTTTTACATAAAGCTGTAAATCCATTCTGATGCTTTTTAGAAGATCAGCTGCTCGAGTCACCTTCAGCTGTGGGTATTTCTAGAGCAAGAGGTGAGCTGGCAGTGCACAACCAGCCTGCCAGTGGCATTTACAGCAACAGTTCCCCTCCTTCATTTTGGTTCTCTGCTTTTGCTATTTAATTTAATCAATTTAATTTAATCAATTCCAGCAACAGGCTGTCAGGGCACTGCTGTCAAATACAGCAGGATATGGAAGGTATTTGTAGTGGGTTTGATTTGTTAATTTGGGGGGTTTTTTTGGTTAATGTACTAATGAGCTCATCACCAGTGCATTCACTGGGATGTACTCTCTTATTTCTTGTTCTGAGGTAGGACTAGGGGAAAGGTAAAGCAGGCTTAGAACTTCAAAAGGGCCTACAGAGAAATTTATTAATAGCAACAAAATGAAAAAGTAATAAAAATTACAACAAAACTTTTAGGACACTTCTCATCTTTCTATAGCCTTTTCTTTTTTACTGATAATGTAAAGAAACAAAACGTAAAATTTTAGTTAGTTTACTACTTTTAGAATAACCTTTCTTTAGTTTACTTAGGGAGACAAGTCTTTCTTGTTAAGGTTATGGAGACTTCTCTATAAGAAAATAGCTTTTTCGTGTTTCTTTTCACGAATAGTAGTTGCTTGGGAAAATTTGTAATTGTGACATTTCTTCTATTTTTATAAGCTTTTTTTACAGTTGTATTTATGGACTATGTTAACTTATGGGGTACTGGTTTAAGGGTAAAAGTTTTCATTATCTATCTTTAAAATGATCTTTATCTCTGGAAATAGAGGTAGAAATCAAAAAACAGAAATAGAAAAATCTTTTTTTTTCTCTCCCTAGAGACAGTATTCTACCAAAGAGATGGTGACTGCCTGTGCTCAAAGATAAAATGCCAGTACTCCAAATCCAAGGGGCAAGCATGTGAATATCACCCCTCAAAAAATTCTCCAAATATAATATATGTAATATATTATATATATTATATCTTTTATCTATTATATTATATATATTGTGTGTTATAATTTATATTAATAATATAGTATATAATTATAATAGATAATATAGAATATAGAGTATTATATATTAACATTATAGAGTATTTTTATATTTCTATAATATTATAGATATATTATTTATATCTATTTTATATAAAAATATATAAAAATATATTTAATATATAAAAATATATTTTTACATATATATGTTGTTATATTATTATATTACTATAATAATTCTCTTCCAAACAGCATTATTGATTCTGCCGCATGGGAAGAAGGACTTTGATCATTTCCAATACACTGTCACTTCCAGCTCTGCTGTAAGCCACAGCAAACCCAAATCACAGTGAGCAGCAGCTTCTGGAGTGCACACAAATCCCCCCAGCACCAGCTAAGGGGAACACTGCATCCTTTGCAAGAGGTGCCACCACCTCCTCGGTACCCCCGGGTGGCTGCACAGCTCTTGTTGTGCAATGAATCTTTTCCCCAGGGTAATGCAGAAATGCAACCAAGTCTCTGAATTTGTCTTAATTAACAGAATTATTATTATTACTATTATTGTTATTAACAAGTGAGGCTAGAAGCAGCACATGACATGAGGACAAGCGCAGCGAGGGCAGGGGGAGATTCTCCAGCGCCCTAATTCAATTAGCAGGCAGTGAGTGACACCGGGACAGCAGAGGTTAATTGGGGTCACCAAAAGGCAGTAATTCCTTACCTAACCAGTCATTAAACTTCTTAACCTCGGAGGGCAGTCCCAGCTCGGTGAAGTCGCCCGTGTGGAGCAGGATGTCCCCGTAGGGCATCTGGATGCCATCTGTTCTGGAGTGCGTGTCTGAGACGCAGACGAAGCGCGTGTGGCCCGCTGGCTTCGGAGTGTCATATGGGATGGGGTCCACCCTGGAGCAGACACAAAGATCCCGTCACTGTCACGAGGTTCAAACCCTCAGTCCATTACTGCAGATATCAGCTGCAGTGTCACAGTGTGAGCACACATCTCCCTCCCTCCAGGAAAGCAGCCACGCAGCCACGGACACACGCCACGCTCTGCCAAAAACCCAGGAGGGACCACAGCGCTGCTAAAAACTTACCTGGTGAGGACAGGAAGATTAAATACACGCAAGATACGGCCGCTCTGTGGTACTAAAGTGTGTTTAGACACGGGGAAAAATGGATTTAGGAGGCTTTGAATTCGAGTGTTTTACGTGCTGCGTCTTATACGGGGACAGGCACAGGGCCATGGGATAACAGGGCTCACAGGTGGGCCAGGAACGGGCTCTCACCTGAGCTCAGCAGCTGATTTTGTTCAAGGGCACAGGTTCTCAGCATACAGCATTTGTTTACACACAATAAGGTGCATTCAGGAGTGCTTTGGTGGAGGCTGGAAACTGCAGAACATAGTGACAGCTTCCTAAACTCATACAAAATCCTGAGCTCATCATCCCAGAATCTGTAAAGTCAGCAACTGATGTGCTATCACATTAAGCAATCGTGTATAAAACTTTTTTTTTCTATAGCCAACAATGCTAAAAATTTAGTTCAATTGATTATTTGCAAGCTGTATTTGGTAATTTGATCTTATCAACTACATGTGACCCATCAAGGAAGTCTGGTCATTTGGTTTTTGGTGACTTTTTTTTTAAGCACAAAAGAGGAAAAAGAATAGGTAATCGAAATGCTTTATGCATTAGTGATTAGAGGGTCTAATTTGTAACAGAATAACTTAAATACAAGAGGCAACCCATTGCCTACTTTGGAACTGCAATTATTTCTCTGCAGAGTTACCATAATTTGATTTGCTCAACAATTGAATAGCACAGCATCTGGATTAGTGCCACAGAAAATCCCATCCCAGTTCCACAAAACTTCAGCTCATTCCATTGATGTGCCACTTTGATCATGGTTAGAGCTTAGCTTCAGCTGGAAATGTTGAGGTATTTAGGAGTTATGTCAGAATAACAGTCCACTTACATCTCAAATTATCAGGCTAGTGAAACCAAGCTCCAGCTACTTTAAAGCATCCAAACACCAGCAGACATCACTGTGAATTTGTTTGTCCTAAATCCCCACAGCTATGATGAGATGTATGGTCAGTAACAGAAAATAAAGCACAAACCTTAAGAAAATCCTGACTTTTGAAGTATTGCTTTTGTTTACTGAACTGTAAGCTAAATTAGCATTTAGTTTTTACTGTGTGAAAACCTCTGCCAGTGCCTTGAACTTCAGCTCCCTGCACAGGTGAGAAAGACCAGAAGCAGCCTGCAGGGTGCAAATCAGCTCCCTGCCCTGGGGAGTTTTATTAAAAGAGTGGCTCCAGAAATCAGACTCCATATGGGTATGTCCTGGTCTCCAGTGGAAAACTGCCCCTGTGAATGCACTTACTGAGTTAGAATTTAATTTTGTTAGAATTTTAAATTATATTATATTATTATATTTGTTAGCTATTATATATAGTATATTACATTGATATATACAATATATATATATAATACATACTATACATATATTATTTATTCTATTTCTTAGACTATTCACGGCTAAAATATTAGTGGGGGAAGCAGAAGGGGTGAGATATTTGTTAGACTTTCCCTAGGTACCATAATTAGGTCTTTCCAATCAAGCTGTATTTACCATCAAAGCACCATACCTCATTGACATGGACCACTGAATTAATTTGCAAAAGTCAGGCTATCCAAGATGATGCTTACTTTAAAAACTGATTCTATTGCCAGCTGGACTGGAGAGCAGAGAATTTAGTGGATGACTCTTCCTGGGGGTTGGTATTGTAGCTCCTGTTCCACCCAAAGCACCAGGTACAATTACCTGAGCCATGAAACTGGTTACCACTGCAGAAACCCGGGAGAAAAATCCAACAATCAATGGATTTTATTTTTTTTTTTTTTCCTCAGCAAGGGTCTGAAATCAACAAGGTTATTACTCCAGAGGAAAATTAATTTACCCATTGAAATTGCACTGGCAAGCTGGGCAGAACTGCAGCCATAGTGCTTTCCTACATGGTGCCTTCCTTCCAAAATATGTGGGTCTCCAAATCAACATTTCCCTACTTCCCAGCCTGTTTACTCCAGACAGCACAAGAAATGAACACCAGCTTTCAGCATCAGCACAGAACTTGCTCAGAACATCTCTGCTTGAGCCAAACCAGCACTGCCTGCCCTGGGGAGCCCAAGTTTGTTTGAACACAGCAGCCAGGCTTTGCTCTGCAGCTTCCAAACAAACCCTGTCCTGCACTAGAGTATGACACTGAAACCTGGTTTAGGATTTTTCCATTCATGCCATGACTTACAGAAAATTCTATAATCAAAATTCATTAAATCCCTGATCCTTCTTTCTCTTCTTTGCAAACACCATGATGTTGCCAAGTAACCTTTTATCTGCGTCTTAGCTTCCTTCTCTCCTTCAGTAGAGCTTTCCTACTAAGTATTTCCAAGTGAGATACTGCAGGTGATTGTGTTCAGTCCATCCATTTATCATACTCAGAACAGTCCTTCAATAAAACTCAATAAAAGTGGTGTTATTGCCAGTCCTAAAGGCTCACGCTTTCCTTCCACCCGCAGCTGCAGCATGGCAATCAGCAATATGAGAGCCTCCTTTCCCACTGCATCCCGAGAGGACTGGACTCTGAAGGCCCTCTCACAGCTCTGGTGACACCCTGGGCTGTGAGCATCACCTTTCCTCCTGATCTGCTTTCTTCCTTTTCTACTTTCATCCTTCTTGCTGATCTACTCACAAACCAGCAGCTGGGGGCTGCACACTGGCATTGCTAAAACCTCTGTGGCAGTTCTGCATCTGACCCTTCCTGCAGTTCAAGCAGATGAAATAATAAATAATAAAATAATTATTTCAGCCCTAATAACTATAATTAGTCATAACAATAATTATAATTAATCAGAATTATTTATGTCCACCACCATTCTGCTGAATCAGAGCACGTACCTAAGAAATTCAACTTGTTCTTTACCTTTGCTGCAAACACAGTGCATCCCACTAACTCTGACACTCTCCATCACCACCAACACTTTGGTTGTCTTCCATTTTCTTGACCTGGCAGACTGAAACACTTCACTGATTATTTGATTACTGCATTTGGAACAGCATGCTCACGGAAAGATGCAGTAAGAGATATTTCAGAATAATTTAAATGTTTCTATATTAGGATTAATACAGTAATCAGGACATAGAAAACAACTAAGATATGTTGCACCTTAGAAAATCAGGCACGTGGCTGGATTTTAAAAAGCTTCTGTACGACCCAGAATGAAATCCCATAAGGCAGTTGAGCAATGACTGCTTTGCGAGATCACGACACTAATGTAAGATCTGTCACATTTAATGCATTTATGACAAGGGTCCAGGAATCAGAAGGGACAATGTAACCTTCATACACTTCTACAAGAACCTTGTTTATCAGATAAATACTTTACTAAACTGCCCTTACCACCAGTGGTTCTCATTTCAAGAGTCCCCCAGGTACAAACCTCAGATTTACAAAATATGGGGGCTCCTGCAAGAGATGCATTTCCTCCCACACTACCTGAAAGGACAGCATTACCCAAGCTCTGATTTGGCTCAGGTGGCGTTCAGAGTCCCTTCCCCAAATGCACAGCTCCTCCAAAGGTGGATGAGCGCAGGTCAGGGGGTGAGTGCTGCCCCTCGCCCCGCCAGCTGTGCATACAGCAGCCCAGGCACTGCTCCATCCTGGGGCTCACAGCAAACCCCACCCTGGCTTTCAAAGTGAGAGATTAAATAAGCACAAATGAGCAACACACACCACACCAGGGGGTTTGACCAGCGAGGGAGTGGGGACTGAATTCAGGAACTCACACAAGGGCAGATCCTTGGGCCCCTCACACGTGCAGGGGTGTGGATGCTGACAGTCTGGCCACAGAGAAAGCCAGATCAACTTCCCCAGGCATTCTTCTGGGGAGTTTTGAGAAAGCTCAGAGAAAGAATTAAAATAACCCTTAATCTTTGCAGCTGGTGTTTTAAACTTGTAGTTTACTTGTAAGACGTGCACAAAGAGTGTTGTTCCTAATTAGCCACTCTAAGTACACTGCATGTGTACAGTATATGTGCACAAGAAGAGTGTTGTTCCTACCAGCCTGTACTGCACTGGGTACATCTGTGACTCAGTTTCTGGGTTTGTTTTTTATGACATCTGAATAAGTATTCATTATGCACCCATTTAAGCACAGGCTTCAAGTCAACACACATCAAACCCACGTGTGTTGTTGCACTTACTTGTGTACTTGTAAGATGTGTCCAAGAAGAGCATCGCTCCTAATCAGCCAATAATGTGAGGAGTGTTAATTGAGGACCAATCAGAGCTGTCTATAAAAAGAATGTGATGTATAATAAACTCCACATTTACCTTCTAACAACACAAAAATCTGTGTCACTTGACTCAACCATCCCTAACGCAACAACACCGCAGGGGCAAAGGACTTGATTTAGGATGTCTTGCCACAGAAGAGACACGTTAACTGTGCATTTCAGCCCAAGCCTACACCAGTTACTCATGAGGATGTCTTATAAATCAGGAGGGCTGGAAAGCTCTGGGACAGGCAGGGCAGTGCAGCCCTCCTACGGACACAGCTGCAGCCACGCTGGGACCCTGCTGCAAAAAAACCTCAGAAAACACACAAGCACCACCTTCCTGAAAGGAGTCACTTTTGATTATAAAGGATAATTCTGCATGGGCGAGCTCAAATGCTGAAAATAAGGGTCTTGGGGTGTGTGGGGAATGAATTTGTAGAGAATTTTTGAAGTTTAATAGAAAATTTAGATAGTATGCATTTGTATACAAACTTTGAGGTGAGACGTTGATTTAGAAATACTATGGAATAAGATAGATATTGTTGAGAGAGAAATACAGTTAGAAA